GGACAGGTAGCGGTCCACGCTTAACACGGCCAGGTTGAACACGCTGCTGAACATGTTCAACGCGTCCAGCGATAGGACGATCTTACACGCGGCCCTGCCGAACACCCACCGGCCCATGGCGGATGACGCCGAGGTGAAAGGTTCAAGATGTAGTAGTGTGTAGCGTCCTTCGTCCTGGAGTGGCACAGAAGCATGTAGATGACCAACAGGTTCCCCAGCAGTCCTACCACGGTGATTGTTCCGTACACGGCTGGAGCGACGGTCAGGATTTTTGCGAGGACGTCCGAGGCGAGGGCCAGCGCTTGCGGGTCGTCTGCGACACCCGTGCCGTTCACTGAGCTCCAGTTCCCCGTATACATCTCCATAGTGGCGTTAGTAGTTAGCAAAAGTCACTCGAAGCGTCCTGCAATACTATCTGTGACAGAGATGGTCACTTTAAATCTCAAGGGATGTCAAAAAACAAAGATTGCCGTTCCCGGAGTGACAAATCCGGAGTGACAATCATAGATAGCTCAGAGCCATCCCTTAGCCTGTCTAAGATAGGAGCTGTGGTATGAGTATGAGCTGTCTTTGCAGCGAGTTAAGGCGGATCTGTAGCTGTAGCGCTAATCAAGTGATGCTTTGATGCCGGCTGATTATCAGAGGCTCGCGCGCTTCTATTGGACTGTTCTGTGAAATGATTTTAAGTGGGACGCCGGCGTGTACGTTGCTCACGTGTATTGCAGAAAGGTCGGTCTTGAAGATATGAGTTTAGCCAAACCTTTCATTATAATACACATCTGTTCTTGTGTTTAAAGGTATCCAATGCAATTTCAAGGGGCCCGGCCGGGCAGCTAGTCTTATGGAACGAAAAGTATTAAAGAAAAGACAGCAAAGCACAAAAAAGTTTTTAATGGAAACTGTTTGCGTATACGATTGATATAAATGATTCATTTTTCGTTAACTGAAACAGCCCGGCCGGGCCCCGGTTCGGAAATGTGACCTCAGCATTAGGCGGCAAAACCGTCTTTCCCCGACATAACTCGCGTCGCTCACCGAAAAAAAATACTCCGCTGCCCCACTAGTCGCGGGGTGAAGTACGATTTTCAGGTCGATCCGTGAATTGAGGACGGTTATCAAGCCTGTGAATTGAGGACGAAAAGTTTTCTATAGTCGCATGTGAAGTCAATAATTCACTTGCGATAGACATATATTATGCGTTTCGAGCCACGTGTTTACAAGCCTCTGGCGTTTCATTTACAAACTGGCCTTTGGAGTTGGTGTCCGTGCGTCAGCGGCGAGTTAGATCCCGCTGCTATCTCCCGTCGGTTCGTCTATTTCAACTCTACACAGTTTGATGTAGAAAGAAACGTTGTAATGATATAAGAAGCTCCGTAGTGACAGAGGAGGCGACTGTTATTCGATTTGTACAAGCTACTTTCATGTGTACTGAAAAGGCTACCTTCCCTAGCCTGGTTACCAAGCTCCCGGGTCCTACATTCTCTCCGAAAACTATTTGTGGACTCGGGAGCTATAATATGTTTAGTAACCAGGATATACCTTCCACCAACAGCACTAGTTCAATTTAGTCTCCGAGTATATATACCATAGCCTGTGTTACAAGAGTTCTCGGCCGGAGGTTAATGACCCCCCCCCCCCCAACTTCGGGGCGGCCGCCAGGAGCGCGATTAGTCAGGCTAATATATACCAGTGCAGTTACGAATCTAAACAATATTCAAAACAGATAATGATATAAATAGACAGAACTTTATCTATAAACAGGATTCCTAGATAGACAGAGATAATTAAAATAGAGCGTCTATCGCTCATATAGATAGATACACTGAAAACCATACTGTAGTATCTTATAAACAGGTGAATGGATTGAAACTCTCTGAAAGAATAGTTGATAATGGGTTAGAAACTGTTAAACGTTTTGAGTGTTTTAAATTAGCTTTAAGTCCAGTCTAAGTCCGCTCCCAAAGTCTGCCATTTCCGACGTTGGGAGCTCTAAAGTTTTAATGGAGGCACGAGATCTCCGAGTTCTGCGCTTTACTTTCAGGCGCTAGGTGGCGCAAGTGCGCGACCCAATGCACGATCGCTTCTGATGACAGTTATATACATAACATGTAAGTCAGGTGTAACCTTGGCGTAGTCTCTCAAAACACGTGTCCCTACCAGTTTGGCTCATACTACAGCATCCTACAGCATACTACAGCATCCTTGAAGTATCAAGTATCACTCACGAAGATATACTGTACATGCGCCGACCTTGTTGCGGCTGAGAACAGATAAATTTCACCTGCCCCAAAAAACTCCATCGTAAGTACGTTAACGTTACATCTGCCCCGCCAAAGTACAAATTAAAGTACAGTTTTAGCCTGGATATTACCTTCTGTGGGCTTCAAAGTGGCCTTTTCTAGGATAGGAGGTCTAGAGAGAGCCAACAGAAATCATTCAAGTCAATTAACGATCCATAACTACCTGTACGTCAGCAGTACCATGTTTACGGTTTCTTCCTGTTTTCACAGTTTCGGACAAGAGCTTGTTTTCGAGAACATTGACTGGCGCAAGTTTCTTTCATGTGGTTGGCTTTTAACGTATGTCACAACAACTGAAAATCTAGACCGTGCCAGAACTTGTAACGCCTCATTTCTCACGTGTACATGCTGTTCTGCACTTCACGTTCAACTGTTTGTCATATGACACAGGCAGCGGAACAACAGGTTGGGCCTCTATTGTAGATGGTTACACAAAACGTCATGCGAGATGTTTAAACTTACATCTACAGTCGACAACAACCTTTATATAACCTACAGGTGCAGACGTGATCAGCGCTGGACTAAACCTTATCTCCAAGCAGATGTATCAAGTGAGGGACAGTTAGGGAAGCCACAAAACGTTACGATCTCGTACCACAACATCTGCTAGGAGATTAGCTTGTAAAGTCTCTATCCTGGAGTACATACTTAACAAGTTCATGCATTGTCCTTATGCATTGTAATAAAATTTTAACTGTACTTAGATCCTTATCAGCGGTTGGCTCTGAAAATTCGGCGGCATCAAAATCGTACCACGACCTACCACTGATGTGACCGCGCTGTAAGATTAAGATAAGGTAGACAAAACCACAAATACCAATCCTTCATTTTGCTAAGATCTCTGTTGTTACCTAGCTTGGAGGCGAGCTCGCTCGTATACACCTTCTAAAGCAGCACGTCGGCAGAACGTACTGCGCCTGTGAAATAAAAATGAAAATAAAAATTAAACCCCAAATTTTCATGGTTTTCGTTGGATTTTTGGTAAACGTTGCTTTAGAATTTTGCCTGTTGCAGAGGATATTTTCCGACATGCGCGAATACGACCTTATATGAGACGTTCTGCCGAAGTGCTTTCTTGCAGGTGCTTTTTAAAGCGGAACTTTGTTTCCATCACGCTTACAAACGTGCCACACACACACATTTCTTTGTCGTTCCGCCCGATTACTTTCCAATATCCGTCCGCGTTGGCCTGATTGATGTACTGTGTCCATGACGCAAGCCTCACAACAAGCCCTGTCAAAGCCACGAACAAACACAGCACCACAACAATGACATTTCACACCGGCATAGCTACGGCGTCAATTAGGAATTAATAATGTTTATATAACCTCTCTCCGTGAACAGGGCCTTAATGGAACTCAAGGATCTCAAGAGGCTTTTGGCTGCGCTTAAACCCCCTTAAGGGTGGTGAAGGGTTTTGTTGTTTCCTTTTTTGCACGTAGACCAGCATACCGTAAGCTTCCCGGATTCTCCTTGGTGGTAGGTGCGTTGCCTGCCCGCCCAGGTCTATTGGCGCACCCCTGGGCATTTTTGACGGGGCTGGATTCTAGCTACCTCGCTCACGGGTATACTGGTGTACAAATCTCCTAGCAGGTCATTTGGTCGCTACAAAGACAGAATCAAATTGGCCAGGTTGTATCCATTGCCCAGACAGTTAACATTTAGCCACCCAATCTACTGTAGTCTCTAAGTGGCCACCACTGTCTGGTCAATGAATACTGCCTGGCCAATTTGATTCTGTCTTTACGTTTACAGCCATCAAGAGATCTGCTTGGAGAAAACTAATATACAGCAAGTTGTCGAAAAAGTAGTTAATGACACGCGAGGCTTGTCCAGTAAAACGCTCTCAAAAACCCCGTGGGTGCCAGGCTAAGATGTCTTGACTAGCTAGTTTATAGTCTAACACTTTGCTAAGGTTGACGTAAACTTCTGCAAATGTTATTGTAGCGTCGCAACTCCCCACTCCATGCACTGTTCTAATGACAGATCACCTGAACATTAAACAACAACATCCAATGTGTTTAGTCAGGAACAATACTTTTTGTAAATACAAGATAAGAAATCCCGTCCGATTTCTCATTAAAACCCTTGTTTGTTTGTATGTAGTTGTTTGTTTGATTCTTTACGCAATGTTACTGTTTACATGATCAATCTCACTTAACTACTTTCTTATATGTAATCAGTGTTTAAGGAAGGGATTAAGAAAAATTAATAGCGACATTATCGTCGTTTGCCATCTAGTAACTGCCGGTGTCCCGCAAATGTACACATTCACGTTCAAACATCTCAACTTGTGCGCTAAAATTATAACGTAGAAAATATATGTATATAAAACAGGTGTCAGGTCGGTGGCGGATGGATATTATCTCCCCATTGTGTACACAGTCCACAGTTTACTGAACCATTAGAATGATATTTGTCGCCCTGGAGTAGATAACAGTCCGCGGGTGGCACTAATTGTGCTGCAGGCGTGACACCGTAGCCTCCACCAGGCTCCTTTGCAGGCTGAATAAATCGTAGAAATCGGCCTAAAAGGGAATGTAACTGGCCAGGAAAGTTTGAGAGTTTAACTTTCTGTGCAGGCCAATTGGATCCTCTAAGGCCGGCTAACTCGCCTAGCCAGTTACATGCCTTTTGTGGGCCGATTTCTACTGTTTATTTACCCTGCAAAGGAGCCTGGTGGGAGGCTACTGGCTCCGCGCCCCGCGCACTTTAGTCAACCCACTGTCGTTAAGTCAACCTCTCTAATTGGACAAGCGGAGGACTTTGGGACAACAATTACCCCTGGCAGGAACCTGACCAAAGTGCACGTCCGGCCATTCAAAAGCCAGAAGCGTTCTACACTGAGCCGAGAACTGTTAGCTACACACAAACGGGCCCGCTTTTCTCCGTGCTTGGTTGTGTGTGACGGCCTGGCCTTGTACGGGGGCATTCGAGAGAGGGTGGAAACATTTCTTGAATGTATCAACTTGCGGCTGTGTTTTGAGAGAGAACCCGGAGGGGGGTAAGAAGAGTTATGAGTGAGTCGAACGCACGACGCCCTCAGACTGGCCCGTCTATATCGTGGGACAGAGCGAGAGTTCTGAACTCCATGCGGACTAAAGAACTGCACTCACAGGTGGACGGACTGAGGTTGGACTGTATCAAGAATATCTTCGATATCCAGAGAAAGCAGGGAGAGATCATCAGGAAGTATGGCGAGCACCTTCACGGCGCGAAGGGTCTTTCCAGGTCGCCCCTGTTGTCGCGGAGCGCGTCGCGGATTGCGACTGAGCCGGGCGGCACGAGCGTCAAGCACCTGCCGAGCATTGGGTCGCCAAAGTACGGCTCTCCGAAGGTAGACCGACGAGTTTCGTCGCCAGCACTCTCCACAGAAGAGCGAGTCCGCAGGCGACTGTTGGGAGAACACGGTTCCGACGCGTCGTCGCCCCGTTCGGGAAGAGTTGGCGATCCTCGCTTCACGAAATCGCACGAGATTCTTCCTCCGCGAAACTCCTCCATGGACAGACTCCTCGCAGATCCCTCAGACGATTCCGAACACAACAGAAGACGGAAGCGCTCCAACACGTTCTCCGGGGTGGTGGACAACTTGGAAGCGGAGGCGAGCGGTACCAAGGCCGAGGCTGGAAGCCTCCCCGACCCGCTACCGCTACACAAACAAGTCGCGAACCTGCGAGCTTCCGACAGCCCGGCCCCGGGGTCTCCCAGTTTAACTCTCCAGCGGAAACACACCAGCCTGGCGGATCTGGTGGGGTGCGAGCGGACAAGTCCACCGAGAAGCCCAGCTTTACTGCCGCGGAGTTACACCCCAGACGAGCCCCTTGCACACAGGAATCCGAAATCGTACGGCGGCGCTCAAGTCAAGGACTGTCCCTGTGTCATCTGCGTGATGGAGAAAAACAAGAACTTCATCGGCAAGAAGCGACACACAGAAGTAGCTCTGGACAAAAACAGGACTAGAAAAGTTGCGGTTGATGGTGAGTCAATGGACGACAGTTTTGCAAGAGAGTTAGAAAAACTAAAGGATTGTAGGTACCTTAGAATGCGCACCAGTACCCATTAATTATACTGTCCTTTGTACATTGTAGGCTATCTAGAACTGTTTGTATACAAATGCTATAGTATACTGCTTGTTTTACTGCTTAGGGGACATTGGCGTTGTAAATGTTTCTACACTATATAGTGTTACATGTGAACAACATTGACTAAAGTAACAGCAACAGTAGAATTTTCTTTAAAAGATTGTCGTGAAAGACGTTTGTTACAAGTTCAAAGGAATGTCGCTACGGATTGTTTTGGAACTTCGGCCATGTGTTTTGTCTGCGACACTTGGAAGTCCGCCAAGTACCGAAGTCTCACGATCACAGGACCGCAACTATGTGATATGGCCGACTGAGTTACAGCACGTGGGTTTACAATTTCCGCGTAACTCAACAAAAGATAATTGTCCGATACCGGATGAAAACACACACACACATCCAAAGTTTCCTACATTTCAGAAATTATTTTACAGTGACTCATTCCGGTATCGTATTAGCCTCTACCAGTACTACCAGGCTTCGGGAGACGGCTGGAAAGATTGCGGCAAAATGTACTCTCTAGCGGACCAACTCCCCCGGCATGTTATCTCTCTATTTGGTCAATTTCTACTCTTTCCAGCCGCCTCCTGAAGCCTGGTAGAGGCTACTTTCGTGTGATAAATAGCGTTGATGCGAGTGATGTACAAACCCTATAAAGTCATCTAGATAAAGCTACTTCATTTGCGCACCTGTACAAGTAGTTACTCTTTATAAAGCACGTGTTTGTTTACTCAGTCTGTATATTGGCCTAGTTTTTGTGTCGATTAGGTCGTATGATCATTCTTTCCTAGAACTATCGCAGAGTGGAACTTGCTGTCACCAAGTACAGTAGGGGCATTACAATTAGATAGCTTTAAACAATGTTTAAGCGTTAGGTGTAACAAGTCGTTCGGTGTAATGTAGCCAGCTGCCGCTGCGCCGCGTGCCTGCGAAGCTGGTGTGTTACGCCTAAGGTTGTTATACCGGCTATACAGATACAATTAAAAGCCAATGAACTGGGAGTAAGAATCACTCTGGTTGGCTGTTACTAATACACTATGCTGTTCTTGACCAACCAGCGTTGTTGTAAGTTTGTACAGTGTTAAGAGGGTCAAGTCAATTCATACTCGATCGATCAGCCATATCATATCATAACTTGTCATAATTTATGTTTTTGTCATAATTTATGTTTAATCGTAATCTATTTAAAGATCACGAAATGTGCATATATCATTGTGCTTGTTTATATGAATGTACCATATATTGCAATGGAAGGGGATATAAAACAGGTGATAAAAACCACCTTTACCAGTTGAAGTGAAGAATATGCATGTACCATCGAATTAAACATACAATCATACTTGTAACAGTGCAAATAGTAGATATATTATTGATAGATAATCTACCATGAACTTTTAACAGTGTGAGATTCAAGGTATGTGGTTCTGTGTATGTATTGTTCAGAAAGTTGAAGAAATGTCGGCTTGCGTTAGAGATTTTTGTCAGCAGAGGCACATACACTTAGCCGTGTTGACATGATGAGAGTTAAGTTCATGACATGTTGTATATAGAGGGGCAGTATAGGTCACACGTTCCATCGATTGGCCAGCCAAAACGTGCCGTTTGTTTTTAAAATTGTTCGCTACTTCACCAAAACAATGTGCAAGAATAACATACACACACGCCTCAGTGTCAAATAATCCAGTGTTATGTCTCAATAACATTCAAAACATTTAACTGTTATACAAAAGATTATGCCTATGTGTACGATTTTTTTATAAATTGGTTAGAAACTTGTTGACGTTGCGTTTGTGAAGTTTGTTCAAAGATATACACTTTAACGATCGCTAAGTAGTTTAAACAATACGTGTATTTCATCAAAACAACTTTACAATCTGGCCAAACATGAGTCGATTACGACCAACACAAAACACTTCATCTTGTTGGATTGTTTGTAACATGAAACCCAGACAGTTGTCAGGGCTTACATTGTACTCTTCGGCACAAGGGCCAGAATGCCCCCGAGGAAAAGTTTGCTTCAGCCCGCTTGATTCTCGCAAGCAAAAATCACCGGTGTAGTGTGTGTTTAGTTGATGAGGCGGTAGCCTGAGTGCCATACTGTTTCCAGGACCTACACAGGCCAGTTCCCCGGCTCCAGGGCCCGAACATGCCCCCAAGGAAATTATATCATAGCCCCCTCAGTTAGACACTGATCTAACTCTGGGCCTAGCGTGTTATGCATCGGTCTGGCATCCAAACTTACATTCCCTACGAGTTCTGCCCTACTGTCCTGGTAGAAACTCGTGACCAGCGCTATTAGCTGTATAAAATATTTACCTGAAACAAACAGCAATCTGCCATCCCAGAAAACCGCGGATTTGTTTTGCTCACTTAGCGGAATGCGGACAAATATGGACAGAAAGTCCCGAAGTCAAACCCAACTACGCGATAAGGTAAACCTGTGCAAAGAAAACACTTACCAGACCTGTCAACCTGTCACTTGTGGTGTCTTACCAAATCACGTTTTGCCATGACATGAGCGATTTAAGAATCCACCTTACACGCTTTTCAATTGTTGTTTGCACATCAAGATTTCACTAATTGTTCAGTGTCTGAATTACTACGCATTTTTATAATACTCTTAAACGTTAAGAAATATTAAAAATTCACACCAGATCGTTTTGTCTAGTTGGAAGAGAATATTGAGAGCCAGAACTGACTTTTAGTAGGTTTTCGACCGGGTGTTGACAACATATACATAATTTTACAACATTGTAAAGAAACAACGTTTGACGACAAACTATTACATTTGTAACAAAAATCCTATGACACTACTAATCTACACTATACGAGACTATGCAGTATTGGATGTGACTATATAATTGCACAGCCTCAAGGGAAACTTCTAACGCTAATGCAGTTTTCTGTGTACTGTCCTTTACATAAGTGTTATAAGACACCTTGCATAAGTACCGTTAAACGGTGCTTATGCAAGGTGTGCATGACATAGCACTTACGCATCACTTGCATAATCTCCAAGCAGTTCTTTTGATGGTTACAAAACAGTATCAAATTGACAAGGAAGTGTCCAAGGCTGGTGAAAAATATAAAGCCAGATAAAAACGCATGAAAAGACATCAAAAACCAGCCTAAGTCTAAACCTCTGCTCAGTAGGAAGTATCTACGCTCCTGCACACGAAGTAAGAAAGCGGCACACTCAGAAGTCTCCGAAATATATCATTGAAAAAACGACACTCGCTTTGAAGCAAACTTGTGATCTTTGGCATAGAAGACTCGCAGTAACAACAAGAAACAAGGGTTGCTGTGTACAAAGTAAACCCCAACCAGCGGAGAAACAAAGCGCCAGAAACAAGAAAGAGCCAATGAAAAGATTAGTTGTTGGTAACGTGAATAAACAGTCAGAGTTTCCAGCCAACAGAAGTTTCACACGATCGAGAAAACATTTGTAAAGGGACGGTCCATAGCGGATATTTTTGCAGGGGTGTGTACAGTTTTTCCCACAGAGCACATATATACCATCTCATTTAACTGGCCTGAGCATTGCATTTTTATTACAATCTGTGAAAGCGACTAGATCATTCAGTGTGAGTGTGTTCCTGTGTATTTGTGTGTGTGTGTGCGTGCGTGCGTGTGCGTGTGTATTGCTGCGAAGTGGGAACTGGTAATAGGAGTTTAAGAGGCAACGTCATTGGCCAGTGTAGTGAATACTAGTACTTAGCCACACGACCGTTAAGAAGGAAAGCGTCCAGGAAAGACTTTTTAGTCTTAAGATCGATCCCTGTCGATTTGCGTCACCGTTCACGTAATTGGTTGTAGAAAACGGAAACGCTAACACTTTCCTTTGTCATACGTGTCTTATAAGGGTAGGTAAGCCCTCCAGGGATTTAGGTCTTTGCAAAATTACGTTCATACGCTGTACTAGAGAGTAGTAGAGTAGGGTTCTAATGGTTGGCCCTTTCTCTAATGCCGTTCAATCTCTTCCGTCAACATTTGCACAGTGTACGTAATACGGCATCCAGAGAATAGGGGGTGATTAAGCGCCATCTTGCGTGACATCCAGTAACAACAGCTAGCTTCATACGTACAGCGGCGCACCTGCTTCTGTTGACCGAACGTCTTTGCAACAAGAACTCATTAAAAGGGGCTTACCTTCAACTCTAGGAAATGAGGAACGTCCAAGGGGTGGTTACACTTAACACTTTTTAACATCATTCGTTGTGTGATCATTGAACCAAGTAAAACGCACTAACGATCACTGTGGCCTGATGCACAAGTTGCCTACAGATGTATACGTATATTTCTTTCACAACTCTGCATTGTCACTTTGTAATACTGTACACAACGTATAAAGCCATAAAATAAAAACATCATGATAAAATTTCTTCTTGACATTCTAATGAACGTGAGGCATAACATTTGGTCTGCCTTAAGCTTAAAGTTTGTAGAACATAATACAACAGAAGACCAAATTATAAACATATAAAAAGCATAAGCATGATCGAATGCATTGATGAAGACTTTACTTTCCCTAAAGATATTTCAAGCTCTTTTCCGAGAAAGTAAAAAAAAGTACATTTTTTTAATCTTCTAAGATTCAAAAATGTATTTTTTGTACTTTCTCAAGTAGATTTAAAAATCTACTTGAGACAGTCCTCAATGCTGACCAGCTTGTATCCGGACTTCTGGACCAGATAGTCCATGAGGAAGACGGAGATCATGTAACTGTCCGGGTGGTCCGAGTCCAGACTGACGATGCCGCCCTTGTTGTCCAGTTGTTGTGTGATGACGCGGAGAGCTTTGGGAACCCGCTCCACATCCCGAAACTTGTAGTAGTTTGAAACCGTCAGGGCATGCTGATCTATTGAAGAAAAAGAAATATTAATGTATAAAACTTGGGAAAGCAGGGGTCAATCATCTACATTCTAGTAGATGATTGCAATAAAATACGTATACATGTTCTCCACCAATCAAACTAGATGTCAACTAGTAACTTAAGTCCAAATAATTATAATCTACATGTACCTACACTTAATGTAGCCATTCTGTAATTTGTCTAGTGTATCATTGCTACAGATACGAAAGGAAGGTATACATGATGTATGTGAGTAATGAATTTAGTTAAGTCTATATATGGTATTTTATTATACATTTATGTGTATGGTCAGAAAGGAGTCTAAATCCGTCCTGCTATGAAATTGCAACATGATGTAATCCAACACTAGTTACCGTGGCGACAAACGTCAACAAATCAGGTCATTGGCCAGGTCAGAGGTTAATGTTTGGAATGGAAGAAGAAGAAGAGGAAACGTAGCAAAAACAATATATTTTCCTTCCGTAAACATAACAACGATAAACGAAAGGGGGCGAATTTTCAAAGGAAGAAAAATACCATCGGTTGGAGGGAAGCGAGCCGTCGGTTGGATGATCCTCAAGCCCCGAGACTTGCCTTCGCTGATCACGGCGTCTGTTGCGTTTTCAGGACTGTAGTAGGCCGTTTGTAGCCCCACTTCGCTCAGGCGCTGTATGGCACTGACCAGGCCAGTCCGGATCCACCGGGCAGACTGCAGCGTGAAGTGCCCTAGCGGAAACGGTTGGTTCTGCAGGGGGAAGAATTTAAAAATCGTTCGAACAAAACTAGACTCCACCAGACTCCTTTGCAGGCTGACTACATAGTAGATATCGACTAAAAGGAATATTCGGAGGTTAGTCGGCCATAGAGGGTCCAATTTGCCGGCACAAACCACTAACAAGTCGTAACTATTTTAGTATTTATAACTTACGTATTTCTATTCACTCATCCAAATGCTGTGAGAGAATGACACATTTAGTACAAATCTATACCAAGACATGATAGGAGACCGCCCTCACCTCTCGCATGCCTATGGTGAAAGTTTTGGCCCACTCCGTCACCAGTTCGGGAAACGTTTCCACGAAGTCTCCATAGAGGAAGATTGTGACGGGCATCCTGCTGGAGTGAGCCGCGATGGTCTTCACCAGCTTGTGCGCGGCCTTGGCGTTCATACCGACTAGAACAACCAGAGCCAGGCGGCGGGAGGCTAACAGGGGAGCCGAGCAATTGGAGTATACTGTGCCCGGGGAGCCCACAAAACTCTTGGAGGCCTTGGATGACATAGAAAATAGCATGGCGCACGCTTTAGTGGCGTTAAGCATACAACGGCCGCTTACCAGTTCGCAGAACTGGTCTCAACATCAGCAAGATAGCTGAACCACACAAAGAAAGACAAACAAACAAACAAACAAACAAACATAAACCCCCACAAAACCAATACCTCAATACGCGGAGGTAAAACGACTGACCAAACGCTTGCTAATTTTGCTACACCGTGGAATAACTTTATTTGGCAAAAGAAAAAAAATGTTTTACAATATGCACCCCAGATTTTTCTTGGACTAGCCCTTTGATACTCACCAATGGAGGATGCATGGCGTCAAAGTCCCCGTAATCCCTGACCTCAGCTGCCCAACTTATCATAGGTTTGCCTTTCTTCCCTACATCTGACACGAGTTGGGCCTTCTGTTTCTTGTTCCACCCTGTAACAGGTTGCCAGTGGTGAAACTCTCCGTAATATCTAGAGTTGAAACAAAAGCTGGATGTAGTCAGGATATTCTAGCATGTGCATAGCAGGTTTGGTGGTTGTGGGGTTGGTAACGTTATATTGACTCAAAGATGATATGATTATAAATCGCAGTTAGGCCAGCGACACATGTGCAGTCAAAATATACATATCAAAATCGTCAAAGAATTGCCTGAAAATTGACCCTTCCACTTTGCACAGGACTCTTTGACCTGCGAACATTGGCCGATGTTTATAAATTGCTTAGTGATCAAGAGGATACCGCTGCCGAAAGTACCTTAAGTTCATTTTTAGAGCCTGTACATTCGTAGGCCAAGCTGCTTTCCTACTAGTATACTGTGTGCCCGAATCCACCGACTAATCAACATGCTTTGATCATCCTGACTTTGTTCAAATGCTACACATTCTGCTCACGAGCTATGGCTGAAACTAAGTAAAAAATAAATCTTAAAGAAGAGCAAAGAAAGAAACTTCGAAGACTTACTTGTCCACCCACTTAAAGGTTCCGTCTGCCAGCATCTTCTTTAAGATGTCGTACTCGGCACCCTCAACGTCCAGCTTGAAGATGACGTAATCTTCCACCGCGGTGTTCTCCTGAATCCAGCGGGACAGGTCGACTGTCGGCACCGTCCGGTGGTGGGACAGCTTCCGTATGCCGCCCGTCTCCGTGTCCTTTTTCTCGTCTTCGAAAGCGAAGAGCGACCCCCCTCCCCATTGCATATCCCTGCGGTTGTTCTTTCCTTTGTCCGGTGACCAGGCGGACTCGGAGTAAGCCGTCATGTTTCCTGGTGTCAGAGAAAAAGATGACTCGAATCGAAGGTCTAGAAACCTTATCTTTATAAATAACACTAGAAAAGTAACATTTGCAAAGCAAGTTCATAATGTTTACCTTCGCATATGGTCTGCTCTGTTAAGTCTTACTCAAACACATTCACATACATGGTGACAGGAGTCTAAATCCCTCCTACTATAAAATTGCAACATGATGTAACCCAACACTAGTTACCATGGTGACAGACGTGTGGTTCAGGTCTTTGACCTTATTTGTTTTCAGAAGAAGAGGAGGAAGAGGATACCGAGCAAAAACAATATGTTTTCCTTCGGTAAACATAATAAGTAAATTAGTGCCCCCCTCCCACCCTTTTCCCTACTGACCGTCCTTGTTGGACACCCCTGTAGGACAGTGTAGCACGTGGTTCGGGTACGGAGCGAAGAACGGCGCCAGTCTCTCGTCTATCTCGAAGGAGTGGATGATGAAGTCCCGTCCGTCTGGGTAGGTCTCCCGGAACAACTGGACTGTGGACGCCACGTTAGCACCGCAATCCAGCAGGATCTTCCTGGGCTGAGCAGGCTTAGGCGGGCTGTATGGACTGTGTAGAGAAAGACGTTATGGTAATTTTTGCTATGTGACAGGTGTGAAGCTCGGTTTGGGGTGCCACCACAATCTACTAACTAGAACAGGATTAGAAATACCCACCTGCAGTCTGCATTTTTCGTCTATATTGCAGGAAGAAAAATTAATCAACCTGTAGTCTGAAAAAAATCAGGCTAGGGGTTCAATGGTGCCAGCGTTGTGTTTATTATACACTCTATTATACAACGTCAACGTTTAATTTGTGGGAAATGGTTTGTACATACATATCAGATATTCTTAACCCTAACATGGTGCATACAGATTTGAAGTCACAAGTAGAGGATACATAAATGAATACACTCACCTTCCTCCCCAAAATTGTCCGTCTCTGAGGTGTTCAGACCGTACCGCCTTCCCCTGACTTCCCTGGGCCCGTAACAGCCATTCGGGGCCTCTCGGCGGCGGTCTGCTGGGTTCCGTGGCGTGGGGAAGTCCCGGGACGGTGAAAATTTGCGTCACACAGCTCCCGATGAAGACCCCGATCAACAGGAAGGCCCAGCGACTTTCACACGTGCGACGAACTTTCTCCATCGTACTGCGATCGTATCGAGTTGTGCATGTATCAGGCACATGTAAGAGCAAAAATTGAGGCACATTCAACGTTATAGGATCTTATAGTGCTATCTTCAGATTGTCGTGATCACTCAATAGTGGCAAATAGAGGATGTGGTGAATTACAATCTATGCTTATATCATTTCACGTTTCACGAAACGACAAACTCCCTGGATGACGTAAGTTGTACAATCAATGATGGTAAAATGGTAACGTTATAATGCACATAATTTTAGTAGGTGGATAATTTGATATGAAATTTTATAGATTATAATGTTTATTCTTTTAGTGTTAGCCTTTCGAATTAATGTTTTCTCAGTAACGTTTAGCAAGTTTTTCTCCCAAGATCAGATTAAAGACGGTCACAATCCTCCAATCCAATCTCTGCGTGGAATTTCTTGTATACAACAAGGTCAGAACTGTAGAAGAAACCTTTCTCGGCCTTTTAGATTACTTGCCTAATATTGAAACTTATCGAAGACGGTTATGTTGCCATCTTCGGTGGAAGCTGAGCATTCCTGTGACTGAACTTGCATTTCTTGTCTCACTTGTGCCACCATCAAAAAATCAAAATAACAGGTGGCATAGCGGTCAACTCCCCAAGTGCCCCCCTCCCCCACCCACCCTATATCACCGGACAGGACGTTATGCTGTTTTCCCTATCAACTATATTCTAATAAAACGTTTCAGAACATGCATGTAAGTTGTGATCTATTCTAGTGCTGTTAACAACAATAACGTTGGCTTACCGAAATTTGTTGCAGCGTCAAACCCAAAACCTGTAACGTTAGTGGTGTTGGACAACTTGTCTCGGAATCGAATGTTTCGACGTGCCAGGGAATTATCAACAGATAGACACTGAAGTTCATTGATAATTGATCAAATCCCAATTGTATGTCTGAAGGTCAAGTCTAAGTTGTCTGTTACGAAGGTCACGCTAGTGTGTCGTCTTGTATACGTGTGTTTGACGATGTGTGTCACAGGATGCCGTGTCTTCGTGAACACAGAGACAAGAACAAGAGCATATCATTCGACAGTAAACTGTTCCATGGTTACTCGAGTTCACCGTACACACTACGGTAAGGGGGGAGGGGGCTTGCCACTGAATACCATCCAGTAGATTTCTAGCGAAGACAGATTTTATGAATAATTTATCAAGGCCTACTGAACCAGTTCGTTCACTTGCATAGTAGCCAATTACCGCTGATCCGGTGGCACGCGACGGGCGAAAACACGTACTTATTATTTAGTGTACACGGGGGACGGAGCGTGGGATCAGTAAGGGTAAGGAAAAAAATCTCCAAGCACGGATATTCCTGACATAACTGTGGGGATATCTTGGGCGATCCCAGGATACGAGGAAGGAGTTAAGTATTGTTACCTCTAGAACTGCATCTGTAGATCGCTCTTTAGATTTATCATCTTTTCTGATATGACCTGGTGAGATCATATTGATAGACGATATATAGAAAACTGCCTACGTGTTAAAAAGACCAAAGACTGAATATATAAGTATATACATTTAGTCTATAGTCTATATAGTTTATATAAAAAATGGAGCGGTTTAGTCTCCAAGAAATAATACAATATTATAGAAGTTGCCATACTTTGTATTTTGTGCATTAAATATAATGGTTCAAATTGGACGGTAGATTAATTTCAAAGTGATTGGATGGTAGATTGATTTCAAACTGCAAAGTGAAAAAATACAGAGATGACAAGTGAAAATGAATCAATGAAGAGTGATTTAGAAACCGAATCTGTTTACTGTACATTTGTGATATGTTTATTGTACGATTGCGTCCATTGATCGAGCTTAGCATATGTCAAAATAAAGATATGCTTATAATCACAGCTATACAAACTGGCACATATACAGTTAGCATTTAATACGGTTTCAACTTCTCGCTTAAAATTACAAAAGACACTGTAAAAAAAGTCGCTCTAGATCAAATAGTCATGGAATGTACATGGAGCTTGGCTCATCTTTAGCTGTATTCAACATATACCTGATTGGGTAGTTAAGGCACATATCTGCTATTGCAGGCAATCGCAATTACTCTGATTTTACCGTGATTTTTGTCAGTAGGGGATAAATTGTATAAAGCAAACTCTACTTGAGACAGTCCTCGATGCTGACCAGCTTGTATCCGGACTTCTGGACCAGATAGTCCATGAGGAAGACGGAGATCATGTAACTGTCCGGGTGGTCCGAGTCCAGACTGACGATGCCTCCCTTGTTGTCCAGTTGTTGTGTGATGACGCGGAGAGCTTTGGGAACCCGCTCTACATCCCGAAACTTGTAGTAGTTTGCAGTCGTAAGGAGCCACTTTTCTGTGGAATATTATATTAATATAGATACATGAAACACGTGTCAATGTTAAAATGTCTTGTTTGATGCATGTAAACGTGGCACACCAACAACAGAACGTACAATATCATTAGAAGTAACTCGAAAATACTCCACACAGTCACAGAGATAGGTCCTTCTTTTGCTTGTACAAAGTTTCTGTAAAGCTAGTCTTTGGAATTCTTGAATTTGTGTTTCGCAAACCACAGAATAATGTGTTCATGACGTCGTAAGATCTCCCATAGTCACCAAACGTTATCATAATTTCGCGCAAACGCGCAGCAACATCTGAACAGGTTTAATCAAAGAAAATTACCATTTTTTGGAGGGAAACGAGCCGTCGGTTGTATGATCCTAAGGCCCCGAGCCTTGGCGTCCTTGATCGCGGTGTCTGTCACGTTTTCTGGACTGTAGTAGGCCGTTTGCAGCCCCACTTCGCTCAGTCGCTGTATGGCACTGACCAATGCCATCCGGATCCACTGGGAGGATTGGAGCCTGAAGTGCCCTAGCGGAAGTGGTTGGTTCTGCAGGGGAAAGGAATACGAGCGATCGTTGTTATTGTTTGATAACCATTTGAAAACAGATGCAAATTATTGATACGCAAATCAGCTAAACGTTATGGAAAATACTGATTGATAGATAGATAGATAGACTGATAGACAGATAGATATATTGGTGAAGATACAACATCATTCCAACAGATAGACCTCTTTACAAACAGATAGACCTCTTTACAGACAAAAAGAGTATCGCAGAAGAAAAGAAGCCTGACCTCCCGCATGCCTATGGTGAAAGTTTTGGCCCATTCCGTCACCAGTTCGGGAAACGTTTCCACGAAGTCTCCATAGAGGAAGAGCGTGACGGGCATCCTGCTGGAGTGAGCCGCGATGGTCTTTACCAGCTTGTGCGCGGCCTAGATATTTTACGTATTTGAAATCCATTAGATTGACATACAAATCCAATTTACTCTTCCTAGATTCATCAAAAACACACATGACAGACATTTAACGTAACACGCACGTAACACGCGTAACTATAGAGCAACAGCAACATTTCAAGTACAATTTTTGGAGATCAGGGGTCATTTAGAAATATAGTATATTCAATTTCTAGTGCAAGTACATCTACCAAAAGTCCTTAAGGGTTTGTCTGTGTCTATCTTGTAGATCGTAGCATTTCATCGGTGTCGTAAAGCCACGAAGAAGAATCTTCTTGTATCTCTTGTCTATCTTGTATGTGATCGTGTTATTTAGCACACTAAATACTAGTAGTACTGGTGTGGCTGATCTGGCGTCTTGTGGAAGGGCGTTGTGTGTTCATACCTTGGCGTTCATACCGACTAGAACAGCCAGAGCCAGGCGGGGTGAGCCCGACAGGGGAGCCGAGCACTGGGAGTACACCGTGCCCGGGGAGCCAACGAAAGTTCCTGATGCCTTTATTGAAAGAAATAAAGGATATCATTATTGATTTATACAGCTCAGTACAATATATTGGACAATTAGATACGTCTCTTGTTTCTCTGGAACATTCATAATTTACATGTACTATGTCGTGGCTTCGCCAATTTTTATGTGCTAGCAGAAAATCAACAAAATTAACAATGTAATGAAGCACAAAGGAAACGTACTCACCAATGGAGGATGTATGGTGTCAAAGTCCCCGTAACTTCTGACCTCGGCCGCCCAACTTATCATAGGTTTGCCTTTCTTTCCTACATCAGACACGAGGTTGGCCTTCTGTGTCTTATCCCATCCTGTAACAGGTTGCCAGGAGTGGAACTCTCCGTAATATCTAGGAGTTGAAACAAAATCCAACATGCATGTTGTTATTTTTAAGGATTGATACATACTTGGTACATATGATAAACAGTAACGTACACAGACTATAGTGAAGAGGTAAGATGTAAGATAGAATTTAGTGCACTTCTTATTTTATCCAGACATTTTTTGTGCTTTTGACATTTTAATGTGCTAACATAAACAATAGCCTGTGTTGTAAGATTACAATAACACTCCTGGCTAATCATTGGTTTACAGCAACTACAAGGTTCAAGGACATCACACTTTCTGGTCACTGACACTAGGCCAACAAATCTAAGGAAGATACTTACTTGTCCACCCACTTAAAGGTTCCGTCTGCCAGCATCTTCTTTAAGATGTCGTACTCGGCACCCTCAACGTCCAGCTTGAAGATGACGTAATCTTCCACCGCGGTGTTCTCCTGAATCCAGCGGGACAGGTCGACTGTCGGCACC